AACTCACACCCCTCCTCGCGACGGAGTCACTTTCACCACTCACCCAAATCATCACATACTTGTGGCACATACCGCCACACATGAGCGATATGTTCCTCATGTATTGCTATTTCTAAACCTACCTTTACAGCGCCTGTCACAGTCGGGGTGCCTTATGATATTGACCAATACATCGAGATGGAGAGGGAAGCTAAGCGTAAGAAAGAGGAGTTGGTATCTGAGCAGCTGCAAATCTTGAGAAAACAAATGAAGAACCTCCAATTCACCTGGGGAAGTGAAAGTTTGGACTATGATGATCTGTGTATCCATCTGGATGTGGATATCCCAGTAGGGTATAAGCCTCCAAAGTTTGATATCTTCGACGGAACGGGTGATCCCCATGCACATTTGAGGGCATATTGTGATAAGTTAGTCGGACTGGGGAGGAACGAGAAGCTAAGAATGAAGTTATTCATAAGGATCCTGACGGGAGAAGCACTCATTTGATATACTCGACAAGATACGCGAAACTGGAGAACCTAGCAAGATATGGGGGAGGACTTCATAAATTTCTTTTGATTCAATACAGAGATCACTCCTGATAGGTTCGCACTGGTAAACCTATAGAAAACGCCATCCGAGTCATTCCAAGAATATACACGTCTATGGAGGTCAGAGGCCGCTAGGGCACAACCTCTGCTGGACGGTAGTGAATTAACCAAGTATTTCATCAAAGACCAGGAGGGGATATACTTCGAAAAAATGATGGGAATGATGGGACAGAAATTCCCTGAGCTTGTCAAGATGGGAGATTTCTTAGAAAAAGGTATAAATTTGGTAAGTAAAATCTATGGCAGCACTGCAAGCGGCTAGCAAGGTAATCCAATCAGGGGTCAATCGGTAGCGGAAAGAAGAAGAAAGAGGAGGTCTCAGTAGTCGTCCCTTACTATCAACCCAACCCACATCACGGAAACACTTCCTATTCACCAAACAACCATTCACTACCACTCGCTTACGCTCCAGTCTATAACACCCAACAATATTACCACCCCAACCCCAATACAACCCCCCTTGAGCCCATAATAACCCGAACCCACAACGACCATATGCGCCCGTCCAAACCATCATCCACCAAAACCGACCCTCTTATGCACCACGCCCTCATCCCAATATCGAAGAAATGGGTCCCAAAAATTATACCTTGATTGCTGAGCCTCTGGCCCAATTGTTCAAAATATTGAGAAGAGCAGGATTGATACATCTAGTGGAAGTAAAGGTTCTTGAGTATCCCTCCAAGTATTTTGATGCAACTAAAAGGTGCGTGTACCATTCTAATGTGCTCGGTCATGATACTGAAGATTATCTTAAGCTGAAAAATAAGATTGAAACACTGATCAAGAGCGGAGCCATTCAGTGTACTCCAGCTCCGCCCTATGTGAATTGCAATTCCCTGCCAAATCACCAAAATTAGGGGGTTAACATGATCACATTGGATAAAGAATATGATATGAAGGGAAGTGAGACCTACGGTGGTAGTTCAGACTTATCAACGACAACCTATCATTGGTACAGGGGACAAAGAGAGTCTGGAATACAAAAGCTTCCCATGGACGTACCAGTATAAGGGGAAGGCCAAGATAACAAACTCTACCGCAGCCCATGGTATGACTAGGTCTGGGAGATGCTACGCTCCTAAAGATGTAAATCGAGGGAACTTGGGAAGAGAGCAGATTCAAAGAAGGAACATAACAAACCCATAATCCGCCGAATTCTGGAAGAGAATGTTGACCTAAGAGTATTCCGTGGAGGAGCATGTGAAGAAAACTCTTGCACAAATATCAATCATGGACTTGCTGATGAGCTCCGATAGTCATAAGGACGCCCTGTTGAAAGTACTAAGTGGGTTAAGTGTACCAAGAAACACCACCAGTGAGGCGCTGGCCGCGATAATTGGGAAAAGGATCGAAGAAAATATGATCACTTTCAAAAGAGATGAACTTCATATCGAAGGCGTATGTCACAACACAACCCTTCGTATCACTGTCAAATTTAGGGATAAAATGGTGTCCCGGGTGCTGGTCGAAGGAGGGTCAGGAGTCAACATTTTTCCGCTCTCTACTCTATGGGAGTTAGGAATCTATTTGAGGGAAGTCAAGGAAGCCACGTGAGGGTAAGGTCTTTTGATTGTTCGCAAAAGGATGTTATCGGAGAAATTTATTTGGTTTTGCAGATCGGGCCGGTCGAATTTCCCACACTGTTTCAAGTAATGTATATTTCTTCTTCATATAACTTACTGCTAAGAAGGCCCTGGATATACATGGCAGGGTCCGTCCCATCCACTCTACGCGAGTGCATAAAATTTGAGTGGGGATGTTAGAAGATCGTGGTCTATGGGGAATGAGGCCAGTCCGCTTATTTTGAGCACGTTGTCCCATTTATTGAAGGGCTAGACGGAGTTGCTTTCCATGTAGTGGAAATCATAATGACCACCGAAATAGAAGAGACTGAACAAACTTGGGAATGCAGTTACCTTACGGATCCAAAATGGCTATGAGGGAGATGATGAAATATGGATACGGATAAGGAATAGGGTTGGAAGCCAGGTCGGATGGGATCACAGAGCCAATTGAGCCTAATAGGCAGAAAGAAAGGGCCGGCATAGAATATCAGCCTCCGGTGGGGAAAGCTCATACCAGTAGCTCCTGGAAAAAGGTTTTTGTGCCAGCACATGTTTCAAGTCCGGCTCAGAGTTCAGGACTAGAAGATGATATCATAGATGGAATGGTAAAATTGTCCGTGAATATGATTAAAGAATGGTGAGAAGGAGTTAACACCAAGACACCGATCGTATGGGATGTTGAACCAGGGGAAGAGCTGCGGAATTGGACTGCCAATCCATCTTTGGTTCGCTGAAAGTCTTGGTAGTGTGGAACTGTAAAAGTTTTCTTTTTTGAAAAGTGCACGGTCAATTGAGGGCTGCACCGTGTCTATACCTTTTGTCATTTGCCTCTTTTGAACACTTAGACATTCCTCTTTTGATGAAATAAAAGAATTATTTTCTTAAAATATCACAACTTTATTTACCACTTCATTTATATTTAGTTTTTCTTTTCAATAATCAAAATGATAAAAACCTATGTTCCATGATTTTGATATGTAACGAAACTAGCGAGCGCAATGACCCAGATTACGAGGAGTTTGACAAGAGTATGATGCCAGAAATTCTCCCATAAGAAATTGAACAGTAGGAGAGTCAGAAAAATCCCAACCTCGAAGAAAAGGAAGTGGTAAACCTCGGGAGTGAGTAAGACATGAAAGAAACGAGAATCAGCATTCATCTAGATGTTGAGCAGAAGGAAAAATTGGTTAAGCTTCTACGATAATACATCAATATACTCGTGTGGTCATATGATGACATGCCAGGATTAAGTACTAACATTGTCTCGCATCGACTGCCCACTGATCCTACCAGATTGTCGATCAAGCAGAAACCCAGAAAATTCAAGCCTGATCTGAGTCTAAAGATAAATGAGGAAGTGACCAAGCAGATAAAGGCGAATGTGATATGTGATAAGGGTCACCAATTATCCCAGTTGGTTGGAAAATATCGTCCCAATACCCAAGAAAGACGGGAAGATCAGGATATGCATGGATTATCTAGATCTCAACAAAGCTAGTCCAAAGGACGACTTCCCTTTACCAAATATCCATATCCTCATCGATAATTGCGTGAAGCATGAACTATAGTCATTTGTGGATTGTTTCGCTAGGTACCACTAAATCTTGATGCACGAGGAAGATGCAGAAAAGACAGCCTTCACCATACCTTGGGGAGTTTACTGCTATAGAGTCATGCCATTTGGTCTCAAGAACGTCGGTGCCACCTACATGAGGGCCATGACGACCCTTTCTTGTGACATGATTCATAAGCAGATCGAAGTATATATGGATGACGGTATCATCATGTCTCGAAAGACTTCAGAGCACTTGGACGAGTTGAGGATATTTTTTGAACGCCAGAGGAAGCACAACTTGAAATTAAACCCAACAAAATGTGCATTCGGGGTCCCTGCTAGAAAATTGTTGGGCTTCATCGTAAGCAAGAAAGGAATAGAACTGGACCTATAAAAACGAAGGCCATTAAGGAATTGCCACCACCCAAGAGTAAGAAAGATATGATGAGTTTCATGGGTAGGGTAAATTACATCAATCGTCTCATAGCCCAGTCTACGGTAATCTGTGAACCCATTTTCAAGTTGGTGAAAAAGGATGATGCCACAAAATGGACAGAAGAGTGCCAGAAAGCCTTCAACAGGATTAAGGAGTATATATCAACTCCACCAGTGCTGGTTCCCCCCGAGTCTGGGAAGCCATTGTTACTATATCTATCAGTCATAGATATCGCCTTCGGTTGTGTGTTGGGACAGCATGACAAAACTTGGAGAAAAGAGTAGGCCATCTACTACTTAAGTAAGACGTTCACTCCATGCGAGGCCAAGTACACTTTAATAGAACGCACTTGTTGTGCTATGACTTCGATCGCCTATAAAAAAAAGGCATTACATATCATCATACACTACGCATCTGATATCGTGACTCGACCTGCTTAAGTACATCTTCCAGAAGCCAATGTCGACCAAAAATCTAGCTAAATGGTGAATTCTCCTCAGCGAAAAGGGGGAAGATCTAGCCGATCACCTCACAAAAAATTTGATGGCCGGGGATTACGAGCCACTCCCTACATATTTTCCTGACGAAAAGGTATTATTTGTTGGGGAAGATATTGCAAAGTCATACCCTAGATGGAGAACGTTTTTCGATGGAGCAGAAAATTTTAAATGATTCAGAATTAGGGCAGCCCTTGTACCAATAAAATGGCTGAATACGAAGTGTGCATCCTTGAGATCAGAATGGCAATTGACATGTACATCAAAGAACCTTTGGTCATAGGGGATTAAGATCTATTGATACACCAAGTCTAAGGGGAATGGTCCACCAAAAATGTCATGATCATTCCATACATGCACTACATGAAAGAGTTATGCAAGAAGTTCACGAAGATTGAGTTCAAGCACATCCCCAGGATTCAGAATGAGTTCGCTGACGCCCTTACAACTCTATCATCCATGATTCAACATCTAGATAAGAACTATATCGACCCGATTGAGGTAGATATCAGGGATCAACATGCCTATTACTTCCATGTAAATGAAGAGCCAGACGGTAAACCATGGTATCACGACATCAGGAGATTCCTTGCAACCAGAGAGTACCCAAAAAATGCTACTAATAGTCAAAAGAGGGCCCTCAGAAGGTTGGGGAATCACGTTTTCCTCAACTGGGAAGTCCTGTACAGGAGGACACCAGACTTAGGTTTGTTGAAATGTGTAGATCCCGTAGAGGCAACGAGGTTATTGGAAGAAATACATGCAGGAACATGTGGACCTCACAAATACACCAGACTTAGGTTCACATTGGCCAAGAATATCTTAAGAGCTGGATACTTTTGGATGACTATGGAAAGTGATAATATCCGCTACGTATAGAAGTGTCACCAGTGCCAGATTCACGGGGATTTTATTGGGGTTCTGCCGAATGAGTTGAATGTGATGGGTTCACCCTGGTCATTCGCCGCTTGGGGCATGGACGTGATTGGACCCATAGAGCCTGCTGCATCAAATGGGCATCGCTTCATCTTGGTAGCTATCGACTACTTCACTAAATGGGTCAAAGCATATACCTATAAGGCCACCACAAAGAAGGTAGTAGCAGATTTTGTTCGAAACAACATCGTCTACCGATTTAGAATATGAGAGTCTATCATCACCGACAATGCCGCTAACCTCAATAGCGACTTTGTGAGAGAAATCAGCGAGAAGTTCAGAATCGTACACCAGAACTTCACAGCCTACAGACCACAAATGAATGGGACAAAGGCAGCCAACAAGAATATCAAGAGGATTTAGGGAAAGATAGTGGATATTCAGTGGCAATGTCATGAGAAACTATCCTTCGCCACCGGGGCAATGTCGTACATGTAGGATATGACATTGAGGTTGTGATACCTACAGAGGTCGAGATACCATCTTTAAGGGTCATTCAAGAGGCCAAGTCAGAGTGGATACGGTTCATACAGGAGCAACTCACGTTCATCGACGAGAAGAGAACAGATGTGGTATGCCATGGTCAGCTATATCATAACAAGATGGCCAGTGCATTTAACAAAAGGATAAACTCTCGCCAGTTCACACCGGGGCAGTTGGTCCTGAAGAAAATCTTTCCCTACCGAGAGAAAGCCAAAGTAAAGTTCGTACCAAACTGGCAAGGTCCTTGCGTGGTTCAACGAGTATTGTCGGGTGAAGCTCTAATCTTGGTAGAAATGAATGGAAGAATCAACACGAAGCCCATCAACTCAGATGAAATCAAGAGATACTATGTTTGAAAACAAATAGGGTTAGGTTTTTCCTATAACAGAACTATGTTCAACCTGACTTCCCACGGAGGGATACGTAGGCAACCCACGTAGGGATACGTAGGCAACCCGCATAGGGTTCGATTTCTCTCCATCCAATCTTTTGTAATAGAAAAACCAAATAACACTTTTGAATATTGCTCTAGAACTACGCCGACTTGATTTTCTCATGAAGGAATACGTAGGCAATCCTCATCAAATTCAGTCATCTTTTGTAATTGAACTACGTTCTGGCCTGATTCCATTTAGATACGTAGGTAGTCTGAGTCGGACTCAGCCATTTCATTTTTAATCCCATTATTTTGCATCTATTATAATTGAACTACGTCTTGACCTGATTCCATTTGGATATGTAGGATGCCTGAAACAGGCTCGGTCATCTTCATCATATTTTGTCATCATCCACGAACTACATTCAGACCTGATTCCATTTTGGATACGTAGGCAACCTGAGAGGGCTCAGTTATAACCTTAGGAAAATCCTTTGTAATGCATTAGTTCAAATTAGGACGCAGTCGCAATGACAGGCAACCACATTGTTATGGATCGCGAAGGATTGACATCAACAGGACAGAGTTTTCAAGAAGAGACGCTTGCGTGTTGAGAATGTTTTGTGACATGTCATAATCCGGTACGACCACACTTATCCTAAGACAAAACTTTTCAAAATTGCTTTTCTAAAATACAGTAATTTGTTCCACCTACCGAACTTTTCGGCACAACCGTATCAAAGACCGATGCAAACCAACATTGTGGCTGATAGAAACCAACTTCTGTGCTCCCACTAAGAACCTTTCTTTGAGTGCAGAATCAACAAGAAGCAAGGAAACGTTGAGACCACACTTGGGCAAATGACGGATCCGCCACTTTCCAAGGATTATCCCCATTAACTCCATCACTTGAATTTTTCTGGTACAACTAAAGCTAATCTTTAAATCCTTTGCAAGTACCTCGGAGTTCGACCGCTGATACGAAAAGGGCACACTATATATAGCAAATAGTCTGCTCAACTAATTGGAGCACCTTGTACAAAATGAGTCATCGTCTTCACCAATTGAAGTCTTATATATAGCAAGATGCCTACTAAATCAATCAGAGCACCCTGTACAGATCAAGCGTCAGTTTTGCCAATCGAAGCCTTGTATATAGCAAACTGTTCATTTTGCCAATGGAACAATCCACACCGACGCTCCATCTCAACGGAGGCCAGAATAGATAGTTTCAAACCTCGTCGTCGACGTTCTACCAATCGATATCCGCAACTTAGCTTTGCAGTATCTCTTGGGCATGCTTTTCTTTCGTTTGCTATTACCTTGAATGTTTTGACATTTTGCTCATGCAGCTTTAGGAATGATTATGATTTAAGTAAATCACTCCCAAGTGGAGATTATTTTACATTTTCTCAGTGCAAATCTCTCCCAACAAGCGAAGACGCACTCTACAAAACCAGATCTCCCAACAAGCGGAGACATTTTCTCAGTGCAAAGCTCCCCCAACAAGCGGAGACACTTTTCAATGCTGCAGAATTGTACAAAGACCGACTAAAAAATTGAGTCAAGTTAAAGTATCCCATCATCCCGATCCCAAATAACGGCTCGCCGGCAGCCAGGCATTATTATTCCTTCATCATTTACATCACATCATAATAATTCTGCATTGCAATATATGGGTATGGGTGTATTTCTTTTTTTGCAGGAACAAATATCAATGTTATAAGGGATATTAAACTCATTAGCGGGCCAAGGATCCAAGTTCAGACACAAAATGACCAGTGGAACTCCAAATCATCAAATCCCTCAAGTCAAGTCGCAAAATTCAAGCTATCGTGAGTGTCCAATCCTCCGTCTCTCCATATAGTCATAATACGATACTGGGGTAATTCCTGCGAGTATCGCTTCCTCAAAATCTTCACTCCAAAATACATGAGGCCTGATCCTCGTTAAGCCCGAGGTATATAAGCAATTCATGGCTAGAATTTGGCCCCAACTTCCCCAAAATCTTCCTCAACTCTCCCTAAAATCATGCAATCAGTAATTTTCCATCCATGCAATGTATGCCTAAAGTCAGGACAAAATCGGCTTTGGTTCAATTTCTTTCAAATCGCCAAAGATGAAACCTGAAATCGCCATTGATCTTTCAAATATGTGGCATGCATGGTCATTCATTTTTCTCTTGTACTTCAGATCTCATCACTCTTTCCATTTTCACCCCCAAAGATGGAAACCTGGAATCGCCATTGATCTTTCAAATTTGTGGCATGCATGGTCATTCATTTTTCTCCTGTACTTCAGATCTCATCACTCTTTCCATTTTCACCATTCGATTTCGAAAACCCTAATCGAAGAAGTCAGACCAAAAGGGTGAAACTTCGACTCGCCAGATTTCTTCCTTCGTCATTTCAGCTCAACGTAAGCCTGAGATACTAGCTAGCTTCATCATTGATATTCGACACCTAGAGGTCAAATTCAATGACCTCTGGGTATTAGGGTCCTGACCGGTGGTCGATTACGCTTCAACGGTCGGTCTCTCACTTCTCTCCTCTCAGGTAAAATCCTTAATGATTTTCCCTCTGTTTCTAGAATTGTTTGACTCGATCTTGGTTGCATCACTTGACAATCGCCACTCTCCACTACTGAGTTTGAATCTGCGAAACCCTAAGGCTTAATGGGCACTATAAAAGGGGATTTCAATGCTCTCACCAACCAGACCTAGCATCTTCAACCTACAGAGCTAACCCCCAAAGATGAAACCTGAAATCGCCATTGATCTTTCAAATCTGTGGCATGCATGGTCATTCATTTTGCTCCTGTACTTCAAATCTCATCACTCTTTCCATTTTCACCATTCGATTTTGAAAACCCTAATCGAAGAAGTCAGTCCAAAAGGGTGAAACTTCGACTCGCCAGATTTCTTCCTTCGTCATTTCAGCTCAACGTAAGCCTGAGATACTAGCTAGCTTCATCATTGATATTCGACACCTAGAGGTTAAATGCAATGACCTCTGGGTATTAGGGTTCTGACCGGTGGTCGATTACACTTCAACGGTCGGTCTCTCATTTCTCTCCTCTCAGGTAAAATCCTTAATGATTTTCCCTCTGTCTCTAGAATTGTTTGACTCGATCTTGGTTGCATCACTTGACAATCGCCACTCTCCACTACTGAGTTTGAATCTGCGAAACCCTAATGCTTAATGGGCACTATAAAAGGGGCTTTTAATGCTCTCACCAACCAGACCTAGCATCTTCAACCTACAGAGCTAACATCTTCAACCTACAGAGCTAGAATACCAATAGATACAAAAAGCTATCACGAAATTACTTAGAAAGATCTTGATTTTAGTCTCGAGTAGCAAAATAAGCTAGGGTTCTAACTAGTTTCTAGTTTCTTCCTGATTCTGAATATTAGACTGATTGGGGTGAGTTCTTGATTCTATACGGCTAAACAAGAGGCTTTTGTTTTGGTTTGTTGCTCAAGAGGAGGTCACTACACCCCATCTATGATAAGCTGTTGTATTTACCTAGTGTTAATTAATTAGAGGTGTGACTTTAATGACCTCAATTTTTACATTGAACAACCTATGTGTTTAAGTTTCTTAACTTGCCTTGATGATTTCTTACAACTACCTAGACTTTAGACTTTACTCTAATATTCTGTTATAATCTTCATGCTCATCATGCTGTATTCTGTTCAGTTATAATCCTCATGCTCATCATATTGTATTCTTTAAATTTATGTTATTCTAATACTTAGGGTGTTCTTGTAGTCTTCATGCTTGCCATGTCTTGCTCTCTTGAGTGTTGTCATTCTACACTTGGGTTTGCTATTAAATAATTCTAGTTAAGGTATGCATGAAGGTATATAGTATAATACTGTCTCACTTGGCTAAGGCTTCTGAAATCTGAGTATTCAAAATGCTTTCATAAATGCTTGATAATCTTTGAGTTTACTTTGAATCCTCACTATGAATGCTTTACATCTATGTCTAACTGTTAATTGAAAAATAGTCCTACTAGGATGAACTTCTGTGCACATCAGTGATACTTGTTATGATCAATCTATCTCCTATGGGTTAGG